TTACTTCAAAAAGCTGTAACTTGGCGAAAAAAAATCGCAGTAACTTCTTCTTTTTTTTATATTGAAGGGAAAAGTACACACTTTTTGATCCTTCGAGCAGAATTAGCGAAGAAAACTTTTCTACGCCAGTGAAGCTGTCGAAAGTGGTTAGTTTTTAGGTAAAAACATGTCCTTACATTTTAAAAGCTACAGCAGCGCAGATGCATTCGAGGAAAAATCTGGTGACTAGTTTTGAAGCTGAGAGTGCAAGCTTTAATTAAAAAAAAAACGATCTTGCTACGATGATTTTTAACGGAGATATCGTCGGTAATGTCGAAAACACAAGGGTTATTTCAATGAGCTGTGATTTGGCGAAAAAAAATCGTAGGAACTTCTTTTTTTTTAAATTAAAGAGAAAAGTATACACTTTTTGATACCGTAAGCAGAACTGGCGAAGAAAAATTACTACACTCCGTACAGTGCGTCAAAGTGTGCAATTTTTTAGAGAAGAAACATGGTCATGATTTTGAGAAAGTTCCGGGAAATGGGAAGAGTGAATGCAAATTCCAAGAAGAGCTTCTTAAAGCAGAGGCTTTGCCCTATAAAATGAAAAAAAAACTTTTCAATTCGACCAGTTTTCGCGAAGTTACGCTTATTTGAAATTCGCCAAATTTTGATGTAAATTTCTTGTTGCGTTAATTTTTTTGACCAGTGTATTATTAATTTATATACTACGTAAAAAAAAGTCACGAGATAAGTCAAGAAGACCTCATTTTAACGTCTTTATGACGTCACAAAACCGTATTTGCCAAGAACCATAATGACATCATCATGACTGATACAACTATGACTTTTGAAAGATGTCATTTTGACTTCATTTTGACTTATGTGTTCTCCTTGGGTGAAGCTCGCCGCTCGCTGCGTGACAACTTTTTTTCGGCGCGTCGCTCCACCTCTCGCTATTAGATGATGCCCCACCGTTGCCTGCCGAGTCCGGCCTGCCGCCGTCTACGCTGTCATTCGCTCAGACATTAAAATTAATTTCTCGATAACTATTGCGAATTTTGCAAAATGGTAGAGGACTTTTCTATTCAGTTTGCCCCGGTCTATCTGCCATTTACGGGTGATACGGGTATTAGGACACACCCTGTATATATTTGTATTATAATATAAAGATTTTCATCACTTATAATAATTACCCAATTCTCATTTTCTTTTCTCTTTAGTAAAATTAATATATTGTTATTATTTCTTTATAAAATTTTATTTGGAAAAAGATTTTTTTATTATGCTTTTCTATAATTAATCTCTCTCTCTCTCTCTCTCTCTCTCTCTCTCTCTCTCTCTCTCTCTCTCTAATACATTTAAAATTAAACTGTTAGTTACATAATTCTTTCAAACTTTATGTTAAAAGTGTTTCAAAGTATTAAAAACTGTTTTATAACTTTATATTAAACAACTAAAATACATAAGGCTCTAATATGAAATCACATAATACAGAGTAATAAAGGATATAAGAGCCAAAACGGATGTTAGTGTCTAAGTGACTTTAATTTTTAATTTATTGCGAAAAATTTACCTGAGCTAGGGTTTGAACCCGGACCTCCCCCTCACTAGGCGATGTGTGCAAAGTTGGCTAATCATTTTTCAGCAGATAAAACGAAAGAGAGTTCTTGTTGCATGCAGCGAGTTCTACAGTTCTGAGTAGTGTAAATTATTAAGTAAGTTGTATAAAGGTAAGTTACGTGTTTTATACTTTCTAAAAATATAAATAAAAAATGGAAATTATAGATAATTAATATACATATGCATATATACACAAACTCACACACAATTGATTGGCTAAATTAAAGTATCAAAACCATTGATTTAAAACACAAATACAAAGTCAATCACAATACCATCTACATATCATAACACGTAATATATAAATATGGTACGTATAAACGTGCGTGAATATAATCTCTAAAACGATTTTTAAAGTACATAATTGTAAAATAAATTAGGTATGAAATAAATATACACAATTGTATTATTGAAAAAATTTTAATTTATATTTAATATAAAGAAATAAGTTTTAGGCTTTATGTATAAAAAATGTATAAAAACATATTATGTATAAAAAATATGTATCAAAAATGTATAAAAAATATTATGTATAAAAAACGTATAAAAAATATTATGTGTCAAAGATATGTCAGGAATGTATCAAAAAATAATTAAAATGCGTAATGCAAAAGGGGCAATAAGACCCAAACGCTAGATATTGAGTACAAATATAACAATATTATGTATGTTATTTATTAGGAATAATCAAAGTTAAACGTTTTTCGACCAACACATGTGGTCCTTCTCAATGACAATAAAAATTTTTGGTACTAATGATCAAGTCGGCGAATTAAACATATTCTAATGGCCTCTAACTAATAACTTTAATAAAAATTATAGTGTAAGTAAGAGAAACTTATCGATTAGATCGATGAACGCAATGGTATCACACTATCTCGCATCGTTGTTAGACTCCAATGATGACGCTCGCCTCACAATGCAATATGCAGACGCTTAAGTATTTGGCGTCTACATATTGCACAGTGAGGCGAGTGTCATCATTAAAGTTTAACAACGATGCGAGATTTAGCGATATCATAGCGACCATCGATGCATTCGATAAGTTTTTCTTACGCACACTAATTCTACTAAAGTAAATTGTTAGAGTCCGTTATAACATGTTTCATTTATCATATGTACTAAAAAACCTTTATTGTCATTGAGAAGGACCACATGTGTTGGTCGAAACGTTTGACTTTGATTATTCCTAATAAATAACACATATAATATTGTTTTATCCGCACTCAACATCTAGCGTTTGGCTCTTATTGCCCCTTTTGCATTAAGCATTTTAATTAATTTATATTGAAAATTGCATATGTCGGATAAATTATCATTGTACACTTTGATCCCTGCCTCTCCCTCTGCCTCTTCCTCTGCCCCAGCCTCTGTTCCAGCCGCTGCCCCTGCCTCTGCTTCCGTCATTATTTTGCAGGGTCTTTATTTCTTCCTGCAACTTCCGCATCTCTTGTTGCAGCTTCTGCAGTTGTTTTTTCTTATCTGCAAGATTCTGCTGTCCAGGAGGCTGCTGATGCTGCTCCTGCTCCTGCTGCTTCTGCTGCTCTTGCTGGTCTTTTGGTCGTTCGTCTATTTGCAAAGCAGTCGCTTCTGCAACTACTGCCAGAAGGCGTGTCTTTCGGCGTTCCTTACATTTAGCACGCGACCGTTGCAGTGCTGCTCTCCCTGGCCGTCTATGGGAGACAGTTGTTCTGATTCCTACAATATATTGAACATTATTTCAAAAGTTTATTATAATTCAAGAAACAAAACAAATTAATAATGTAGGAATTGAGAATTCTATCATATGTTTGTCAGATGTGTTTGCGTCCTCGCGTCCACGGGTGTTCCGCATGTAAAGTATTTATTTTCAAGACGAGATGCCCTTGTCATTTGCGAGCGACGGTCGAAAGCGTTAAAATCAAACGTGTCGGAGTTTAACGTATCGATATCTGATTGGTCCACGTAAGCAGTGGCCAAGATAATAAAGCCGTACCTCGGGGGTCGAAAGGAGAGACGTTAGAATTCAGAGAAAGGAGATAGACGTGCGCCGGTTAGCTCCATCATAACGTGCGAGTCGCGAATCTATTGTAACGTTTAGTCGATATTAAATAGAACTGAGTTTGATTTTCACAATCCGATCAAGTATTTATTCCGACATCCGCAAATCCTACAATAAACATTCTTCAAATATATTTTTCGGGCTCATAAGATATAGATTTTAAATTTAAAGAAATGTAAAAAATAATTTCAAGAAATGTGATAACATGTTATAAAGTTTTGAATATAATGTTTATAAATGTGAATGTACATTTTTATAAAGGTGAAAATTTTTCATAATATAATATACTGTTACGCCTTTTGCGGAGACGCAAGCCGCCGGATCCGATCCACTTCTCTTTGCACCGTCACACTAACACTCGATAGCCAAGCGACTTGCCAGATACGGGATATCCAAACCGCGGGCGTAACAATATGAACTAATACACTTAAACAATTTTTACTTTAAATTTACCTGTATGAGTCGTAGGTGTATCGGCAATATCTACAGTCTGATCCATGTTTTTGTATGGAATCGTGCTCGCTGATGAGTTCAAATGGTCTTTTGGTCGTTCGTCTATTTGCGAAGCAGTCGCTTCTGCAACTACTGCCAGAACGCGTGTCTTTCGGCGTTCCTTACATTTAGCACGCGACCGTTGCAGTGCTGCTCTCCCTGGCCGTCTATGGGAGACAGTTGCTCTAATTCCTACAATATATTGAACATTATTTCAAAAGTATATTATAATTTAAGAAACGAACGATAATTAACGAGATTATATCAAGTCATTAGCCATCAAATATAATATTAAAAATATAATATTGAATAGTACAAAATTTAGGTAAATATATAGTAAGTATAAACAATAAAAGACGGGAAAGGACAATGACAGTGACCTTTTTAGATGTCAGGATCAACCAGAAGTCGATTAGTGGGGAATGACCACGGGTAAAAATTTATCATAATATAATATGTTAATTGTTACGCCTCTCGCGGAGACGCAAGCCGCCGGATCCGGTCCACTTCTCTTCGCACCGTCACACTCACGCGCGCATACGTTCGCGGGAATAACAGAGGACTGTTTGCACTAGGAAACAATGTTTAATACAGAGAAAGATTACAATCGGCCCACGACGCGTCTGCTTAAGGCAGGGGCCAAACTCAGAATTAAAAATATAATTATTATTAAACATCCACGACTCGTATCCAGGCGACTCGCCAGATACCGGACGTCCAAAACGCGGGCGTAATAATATGAACAAATGCACTTAAAACAATTTTTATTTTAAATTTACCTGTATAAGGCAAAGGTGGATCGGCGATATCCATAGTCTGATCCATGTTTTTGTATGGAATCGGGCTCGCTGATGAGTTCAATTGCACCTATAATTCACTGTGTGAAAATAATATGCACGGCGTTGTTACTCGCGTGAACTGGCACTGCCAGGAAAGACGTTCGCAACAACGAAAGTTATCCCCCACTTTCATCGCAAAAGAGACGAATAGGTCAGTGACACACACACACACACACACACACATGCACACACACATACGTTTCTTAGAAACAGGCAAATTGAACAGCGTCATAAGCGCCTACCTCCACCCCCTTAGACTTTGATCTCACCTTGAACGCTGTCTCGCGTTGGCCGCGTTGGCCGCGTTGGGGGCCACGGCAATTACCCTTATCTATTCGTCTATAGCTTTTCGAAACGTATGTATGTATGTATGTATGTGTGTGTGTGTGTGTGTGTGTGTGTGTGTGTGTATATATGTCACTGACCTGTAATCGTCTCCTCTGCGATGAGAGTACGGATCACTTTCGTTGTTGCAAACGTCCAGGCAGTGCCAGTTCACGCGAGTAGCGACGCAGTGCAAATTATTTTTACACAGTGAATAGGTGCATTTGAACTCATCAGCGAGCACGATTCCATACAAAAACATGGATCAGACTGTGGATATCGCCGATACACCTACCACTCATACAGGTAAATTTAAAGTAAAAATTGTTTTAAGTGTATTAGTTCATATTGTTACGCCCGCGGTTTGGATATCCCGTATCTGGCGAGTCGCTTGGCTATCGAGTGTTAGTGTGACGGTGCAAAGATGAGAAGTCGACCGGATCCGGCGGCTTGCGTCTCCGCAAGAGGCGTAACAGTATATTATATTATGATAAATTTTCACCTTTATAAAAATGTACATTCACATTTATAAACATTATATTCAAAACTTTATAACATGTTATCACATTTCTTGAAATTATTTTTTACATTTCTTTAGATTTAAAATCTATATCTTATGAGCCCGAAAAATATATTTGGAGAATGTTTATTAATTTGTTTTGTTTCTTGAATTATAAATATACTTTTGAAATTATGTTCAATATATTGTAGGAATTAGAACAATTGTGTCCCATAGACGGCCAGGGAGAGCAGCACTGCAACGGTCGCGTGCTAAATGTAAGGAACGCCGAAAGGCACGCCTTTTGGCACTAGTTGCAGAAGCGACTGCTTTGCAAATAGACGAACGACCAAAAGACCAGCAAGAGCAGCAGAAGCAGCAGGAGCAGGAGCAGCATCAGCAGCCTCCTGGACAGCAGAATCTTGCAGATAAGAAAAAACAACTGCAGACGCTGCAACAAGAGATGCGGAAGTTGCAGGAAGAAATAAAGACCCTGCAAAATAATGACGGAAACAGAGGCAGGGACAGCGGCTGGAACAGAGGCAGGGCCAGAGGCTGGGGCAGAGGAAGAGGCAGAGGGAGAGGCAGGGATCAAAGTGTACAATGATAATTTATCCGACATATGCAACTTTCAATATAAATTAATTAAAATGCTTAATGGAAAAGGGGCAATAAGAGCCAAACGCTAGATGTTGAGTACGGATAAAACAATATTATATATGTTATTTACTAGGAATAATCAAAGTCAAACGTTTCGACCAACACATGTGGTCCTTCTCAATGACAATAAAGGTTTTTT